TGAATCTTGGAACACTGAAAAAAATAAAATAAAAATTTTAAAAAAGAGAGAGAAGAATCAAGAACCCCACCTCATTTGCACCTCACGCCCCACCTACAATCCTGGGTTTTCAATCCATTTTCTCTGCTTCCTCTGTGATATCTCCCAGTGGAACATCACTTCCCCCCTTTAAAGCTCTGGCCCTTTGTTTCCCTTAGCACAATTAAGATGGGATTTTAAACTCACATCCAAAATAAATAAATAAATAAATAAATGAAAATAAACTCACATCCAAGAGGATGTGAGTTTAAAATTCATAAGTCCATCAATCTATCATTAGCTATGAACAGGGTGCCTAGATCATGGTTTCTTTAAGATTATTTATTTATTTATTTATTTATTTATTTATTTGAGACAGAAGGGGTGGGGAGGAGCAGAGGGAGAGGGATAAGCAGACTCTGTACTGAGTACATAGCACTCAATCCCACGACTCTGAGATCATGACCTAAGCCAAAATCAAGAATCAGATGCTTCACCAACTGAACCACCCAGCGCCCCAAGACGGTAGTTTGCAAATGCCATTCTCCACAAAAAGGAATCAGGGTTCCTTGAAGACATGGTGATTCCAAGTGGAGCAGAGAAAGCACAAGATAATCCTGGAACATTTTTCTTGTGCCAGGAGCAGAGGCAGTGCTAAAAGAAAAAAAAGTGTCATGGTGAAAGGACCCAGGTGCCAGATTAAAGGGACTTCTTATGGTCAAAAATGGTACAATTTGAGCATTAAAATAAGTAAGGATAGAAATGGATTATAGGGGCACCTGGGTGGCTCAGTGGGTTAAGCCTCTGCCTTCAGCTCAGGTCATGATCTCAGAGTCCTGGGATCGAGCCCCACATCGGGCTCTCTGCTCAGCAGGGAGCCTGCTTCCCCCTCTCTCTCTGCCTGCCTCTCTGCCTACTTGTGATCTCCCTTTCTGTGTCAAATAAACAAATAAAATCTTAAAAAAAAAAAAGAAAGAAAGAAAAAGAATTGGATTATAACTTACTGGATAAAACAAAGCCCCATACTAATAGTAAATAGATGAATGAATGAATGAGTGAATGAATGAGGAGAAAGGAGGGCTCTTCTTTGTAGTTGAATGCCAAATGATAAAAGTAGAGGGCTTGCTAGAGTTAGAAAATCACCATTTTGCAACCATTATGATGAAAGTTGGCTTGGGCAAGGATCATGAGTGAATCCTAAGTCTCAGCAGGGAGTACAAGCACCACAGGATATTTGCATGTTCTCAGAATGTCTCCTCATAGATTGTGTATTAGTTGTAAAGGGGAAAACAGTAACTATACTATGAGGAAACTAGACAACCCCTTGATCCATTTTGACCTTGATCAAATTACATCACCAATAAGAAGCAGATGGACATTGTGGACCTTGGGGTTAACTTCCCTGAAAAGAACACATGTGATTTATATCATATTCCAGCTCAGAATGTAGAACTTGAATCTGGTCAAGAGGAAACATCAGGAAAAACAAATAGATGAACATTTTATAGAATGACTGTCTCATATTCTTTATAGAATTACTGTCTCATATTCTTTAAAAATGTCAATGTCATTAATGACAAAGAACGCTGAGGAACTATTTCAGTTTAGTTGAGTTTACTTGAGTTTAAGGAAACAGAATATGACAACAAAATGTGATACATGATCCTGGCCTGGGATCTTGTATGAGAGGGAAAATGCCATAATGGGCACTACTGGGACAACAGACAATTTTAGAACACGGACTTTAAAATATAGTGCCAATGTTAAACTTTCTGAATTTGATAACTGTACCATGGTTATTTAAGATAACATTCTTCTCATGTCGGCTAATTGAATTTAAATTTAAGAATAGTCTTCTTCTTGAGAAATATGCACCAGAGTATGAAAGATAAAGGGGCATACTGCATGAAACCAACTCTTAAATGGTTCAGAAAAAAACATGTTATAGTACATATATAAAAGAATGATAAAGAAAATGTATCAAAATGTGAACAATCAACAAATTTAGGTAAAGAGTATATGGAAGTTCTCTGTCACTATTATATGAAATTTTTCTGTAAGTTTTAAATTATTTCAAAAGGAAAATATTTGGGGGGCACCTGGGTGGCTCAGTGGGTTAATGCCTCTGCCTTCGGCTCAGGTCATGATCTCGGGGTCCTGGGATCGAGCCCTGCATCGGGCTCTCTGCTCAGCGGGGAGCCTGCCTCTTCCTCTCTCTCTGCCTACTTGTGATCTCTGTCTGTCAAATAAATAAATAAAATCTTAAAAAAAAAAAAAGAAAGAAAGAAAAGTTCCAAGTGTTTAGTCAAATTCTGACCTTCCTGTAGCTTGGTCTCTTTCATCTACTTTCCTAAAAAGGCTCTTAACCATCAACCTCAAGACTGGCCATATCACAGGTGCCCACCCAGCTCTTAGCACCTCACCCCTTGGCCTACCTGTGAGGGTGCCATTTTCCTTCCCCAGTCCTGTGCAATCTAGCCACTTGAATACATCAACCTCTCTAAACCAAAACCCAAACCCAAAACAAAACAAAACCTATTCCAACATTGCAACCCACCCAGGTAGGTACTCCCAACAGCCTTGTTTCCTGTTTGGTGAAAACACGATTTCTCCAGATCAAGGGCAAAATGTGGATCTGTACCTACACATGGCTTCATCCTTCCTGCAAGCAGCAGTTCCACAGCATATAGATAATACAATGGGCCTAACACCCACCCACCTATGAATTATGTACACATGACAACAGAAGCAGGCTACGTCTGTGGTCAAGAGCCAGAGGAAGATGGCCTGAATTTGGCTTTGACTCCACCACTCAGTAACATGACTGACAGCAAGTCAGCTATTACCTGGAGCTCATTAACCATTCACTCAATGTTATCCATCCCGTAAGTACCAGACTGCATTTTAGGAAACAGTGATACAAAATCTCTGCTCCCAGAAATTACATTCTAGTTGGGTGAGACAGAAAATAATTTAAATAAATATACTGACTGATAGATAGACGGATAGAGACTGAAATATAGACGATGCCAGATACACGTGCCATGGAGAAAACAGGGCAGACAAGAATAGGGCTTAGAGTTCAAATTATTAATACTCTCAAACAATTTTATTATTTGGAAGAAGTTAAATACCATTTGCAGAATAATAAGTTTATAGGGGAATTGTTAGCAGTTTATAAATAGAAAGACTTTTCCCCCCTGCCAAATGGTCAAGAGAATTGGGTCTGCGATTTGGATGTTCCTTTGCTATGGTTTGTACAGTCTGTATTTGCCTCTTCAAATAACTTTGGATGATTTTTACATGACCACATTATTGTTTCCATAAAAGGTATTTTTAGGAATTGGAAATAACAGAAAGTTCTGGTAGACTTGCCACTTGTTCTTAATAACTTGCATAGTACTGTTTCCTCCTTTATGAGACCCACCAACCTGGGCTGCGTTGGCACCAAAGCCATGAAGAATGGGCCGCGTGGTCATCAAGAAGTACTACACGTGCCTGGGCAATCTCTTCCATGCCAACAAGCCCATGTGCGAGGAGATGCCATTATTCCCATCAAGAAGCTCTGTAAGAGAGAACAGCCTGTCACATGTCAGAGGGAGCAGACTTGGAGAGGCCCAGTGAGAGGGGTTTCCACCAAGCTGCAGGAGGAGGAGAGAGAAAGGAGACAGAATTACATTCCTGAGGTCTCAGTGCTGGGGCAGGAGACCATGGCAGTGGATCCTGACACTGAGGAAATGTTGACGGTCTTGGACTTGGGCAGTCTGCAGTCTGCAGGTCGCTCTGTCTCGAGTTGAGATGAATTTCAAAACACCTCGTGGAGCCATTTGAATCTTTCTGCTGTAATATCTTCAATTAACCTTGGACAACAACGATAAAAGCAAATAACTTGGGTAGCTAATTGCCTCTTTCCCAAAAAATGACTGAAAAGCAACACCAGCCCAGGATTTTAAGTGTAAAATGGATGTTTGGTTGCTAGGCCTTTTTTTTTTTTTTTTAAGGTTTTATTTATTGATTTGAAAGAGAGAGAAATTGAGAGAGAACGAACAGGGTGAGAGGCAGAGGGAGAAGCAGATTCCCCACTGAGCTCCATCCCAGGACTCCGATCATGACCTGAGCCAAAGGTAGCCGCTTAACCAACTGAGCCACCCAGGTGCCCTTCTTCTTCTTCTTCTTTTTTTTTTTAACTTGGTTTCTGTTGTTTAAATTATGGAAGGAAAATTTGTGTTTTATTTTTAAATTTATGTATGTATGTATATAAGTAAGTAGGTAACTTTACACCCAACATGAGGCTCAAACTCACGGCCCTAAGATTAAGAGTCATCTGCTCTACTGACTGAACCAGCCAGGCGCCCCTACAGAAGGCAAATTCCTCCTTTGCTTTGTGTGTGAGGATTTTTCAGGAGTGATAAGCAGACAAGGCTCTGGTCCCAACATATAATCAGTACCCATTTTGTTTTCAATGTCACTAAAGTACAGTTAATTTAGAACTACTCCACTTTGGTCTTTCCTCTCCTACTAAAAATTTCTTAAAAAAAACAAAAACAAAAACAAACAAACAAAAAAACTTCTAGGGGTGCCTGGGTGGCTCAGTTAGTTAAGCGGCTGCCTTCGGCTCAGGTCCTGATCTCAAGGTCCTGGGATCGAGCCCCACATTGGGCTCCCTGTTCTGTGGGGAACCTGCTTCTCCCTCTCCCTCCACTGCTCCCTCTGCTTGTGCTCTCTCTCTCTGTCAAATAAATAAATAAAATCTAAAAAAAAAAAATTCTTATCTTTAGCCTCTCTCACACCACCCTTTAAAAAAACATTTCATTTGCTACTATTTGGTAGAAAGGTAACAAACTTCAAAACATTCCGAAATAATATAGTTGAAGGTTTTGCTTTATTATGCCTTATTATTATAAAAGTAATGCATATTCATTATGTAATAAAGGGAGGAGCACAAAAAGTATAAAAATTAATTTTAAATTGCCTATAATCCCATCCCAGGTTTATTATTATTATTATTTGAAAATGATTAATATTTGGCATATATCATTTTATCGGTCTTCTCCTATGTATGTCTAAACACCACTCAGATATTACTATATACAAAGTCTTGTACCCAGCTTTTTCAATATAACATTATATTAAAATTATCTTTCCTCCTATCAATAAAAATCTTGTTTATAAACATAATTTTAATGGCAGAGAATCATCCCATGATCTAGATATACTATAATTTATTTAAATGTCCTCCTAATAGCAAATATTTCATAAGAGAGTTAGTGGGTCAAGGCATATCAAGGTTGTTAAGGTCCCTCTGTTATTGAGAACACAGGAAGGAAACGCAGAGACAGTGAGAGCGAGGTGGGGTGTCAGGGCCAGCAGCGAGGAGGCGGCTCAGAGGTCCTGGCCTAGCCTTTCCAGCTCGTTGAGAAGGAAGTCCATATCAGCCCGGGTTAGCGCAGGGTTGGCCACAACCATGCGGAAAAAGTTGCCTCGGGTTCCATGGGGCTGGTAGCCGATCATCATGGAGCCCTCCTTCACCATGCGCTCCTTGAGCACCGGGGCCACCTGTGGAAGGGGTGGAAAGAACTTCCAGCTGCAGCCTGATGCCCATTCCCCTAGGTGCACCTCCCTCCCACTCGGATACCTTTCGGAGGGAGCACTCATCACTCAGCTCCTGACCGTGGCCCTGGGTCACCTTTTCCACTGCATCCCACATGCTTGGCCTTCTCTAGCTTCTGCATTATTTCCTACCTTACCTATCTCTAGGATGTCACACAGACCATTTTCTGCCAAATCCTGACTGTTCTCTGACACCCAACATTGCTTTAGTCTAACATCTAGACTTTGTCATCCTTAACACCTTCTTCTCCCCTCTCTGAATTCCTGGAATATCTGTGATCTGTACCCTGTAATCTAACACGTAATTTACAAGACTGCCTCGAACATACTGGTTTCAGATAGGTAACTCGTTTTTCTAAATAACTCCTTAAGGGCAAGAACATTCTTGTCCTTTCAGATCATCGGCGGCACTTAGCACCGATCTATCCTTAGGGATATGACATGTCTCCTTTCCTGTAGGAGACAGGTCTGGACCAGCCTTACAGAGTTATTCTGCCCCCAGCACCAGGGAATAAGGCCTCACATGGCTGTCCTGGGCTGGAGCTCCCAGCAGAACTCCCATGGATTACATACACGCACTGGTGACTTCTCCCATGACATCCCTCTATGTCTTCTTTTCATTTTCCAGAAACATACCTTATTTCCTATCCCCATCCCCACAGATATGAGGACAAGCTGGGGTTGTCTTCCTGTTCACACCCCCACCTCGGGAGGAAGACTAGCAGAGGGACCTGCCATGCCACGCATGGCCAGCAGGGGGCAGAAACACACCAGAAGCATGGCAGCTCCCTAACCTGGCCTGACCAGAGCCCAGAAGACAGAGCCTACCTTAGCCAGCCTTTCACTGTAATCAGGGCTTTCCTGCTTCCCCCGCAGGCTGGGGGGCACGAACCAGAAACACACATTGACGAATTCCGGCTGGGAGGAATGAGGGAGGAGAAGAGGTGAGCTGTGGAAGGGGGATGTTCCCTCCTCACTCACACACACACACACACACACACACAGACACACACACCCGCCAGGGCTTTGCTGTGTGGGGATAGATTGGGATGCAGGGGGGCGGGGGGGGGGGGGGGGGGGGGGGGGGGGGAAGCATACCTCCATGATCAACTCAAATCCTTCTCTCTTCTTCAATTCCTCCACCAGGTACCTGCGAACACAGAGAGAGGGAAAAAAATCACAAATGGAGGGAAAGCAGAGCTACAGAAACACAAGAGTCCTGCAGAATGAGCCCAGAGACCCTGAGAACAAGGAAAATGGGAAGAGCAGGGCAGTGGGTGGGGGCAGAATGGGCCAGGACAGAACCCCAGGGCAGAGGAACTGGGACCGCCCCCACTCCTACCAGGCTAGGGCAAAGGCCTGGTCAACACGCCGCTCCAGCCCTTGCCCGCCCTGTGCCTTCCACATGAGCCACAGCTTCAGACAGTCCACGCGGCGGCCACACTGTACCACCTTGTCTCCGGTGTCCAGAGCCACGTCGTAGAACTTGTCCTGCTGGAAGAGGTAGCTGGCCTGGGACCCATGGCAGCGCCTAAGCAGGTTCTGTTGGTTTGCGGGGGTGGGGGGAGGAGAGAGGGGGAGACTGTCAGACCCCATCCTCACCACCGAGACCACCTCCAGAGTGGCAAGGTGAAGGGGGGCGCGGTTCTTAGCTCAGCCCACCCATTCTTTTCCTGCCATCAGGCCCCTTTCTCCGAGTTTTTCTCCCAATGCCCAGAGTTCTCCCCAGATTTGGTGTAGGATCCCTTCGATTACAACTGCCAGCTAGAAACTTTTCCCTTTGCCTTGAAGACAGGCCACAGTGGGGAAGGGGGCACCCCAGGGGATGAGGGCGGTCACAGAAACTCAGCTTCAGATGAGGAGAACAGAATAAGGTCGGGACCCTTGCAAAGGATGGGGGGTACAGAGAAAAAGATGGAGGTCCAGGGTGAGAGGTGGAGTGAGGAGAGCAGCAGGGCCGACCCACCGAGGTATCCCGGAGAAGAAGAGCTGAGCACTGCAGGCCGGCTGTGAGAAGCTTGTGAGGATTCCAGGCCACGGAGTCAGCCCTGTGTGTTTTGGGGGAGGGGGTGTGCAGAGCAAAGCGGCATCAGCTTGCTGCTCCTCAGCCACCCACCTTTACCACAGCTTCAGTAAAGGGGCTTGAGACTGCCCAGCAGTCAGGAAGAATTCCAGCGTCTGATGGGCCCCAATCCACCATCTCTCCAGCGCACCTCCCACCAACCTCCTTCCCTCCCTCCCATTGGAAACTCCCTAGTCCAGGACTATTCTCTGGGTCAAGGATTGGAAGGGTGGGATTCAGGAAGTAGGTGGCCGTATGCACCTCTGGATCCCATCCAGGAGATGTCTATGTGTCTGTGACAACAGGACGCTCCCACCCCAGGCGGCCTGTGGAGCAAAAGGAATAACATGGGCCTTGGCCTTGACTCAGCCCACCCCCCCACTCAGGCCCAAGGCTCACTTACATCCACATGGAGCCACAGCCCATGATGCTGGCACACGTCAGCAATTGCCTCCAGGGGGTCAAAGGCCCCCAGCACGGTAGTTCCAGAGGTGGCACTAACCAGGAACGGGACAGCGCCCTGCGGCAAAAATGCAGGAGGAGAAAGAGGCTGTGAAGGGATCTAAAAAGCTACCCAGAGCCCGGCGCTGAGCCATCTCTGAACTCTTACTGCATGCCTGACCTCGGCCCTTTCCCTGACAACATGCCACTGTTGCCCCCTTAATTTGCAGGTGAGGACACTAAGGTTCAGCGGTAATAAGAAATTCACCCCCAAGCTGAAGCTTCAGAGATGGAATTCAATCCTAGGTCTGGCTGCAGGTCTGTTTCAAAGCTCACACACTTTCAAACACTTTTAATGTCTTGAAGATCAAAATGCTATTTTAAGAAGTCTAATAGTACAAAAGTTCATGAAGAACTTGAATTTTTATTTTAAAAAACAACCACAAGGAAAAGCCCAGGCCCATATGGCTTCGCTGATGAATTCTACAATACATTTAGGAAAGAACGGATACCGTTTCTTCACAAAAATTCTAAAATACAGAAGAGGAACGCTGCTGAATTGATCCTATGAGGCAAATATTACCCTGATGCCAAAGCCAGATGAAACGTCACAACCTCAGACAATATCTCTGTGAATATAGATATAAAAACCTACAGAACACTAGCTGCCCAAAGCCAGCAACATATAAAAAAATTACACGTTAAGACAAAATGATTTGTCCCAGGAGCAAAAGCTCCATTTAGCATCCCCAAAATCAATTAACATAATACATTCTTAGCAGAATAAAGAGGGGGAAAAACACATAGCAACAGACCCAGAAAAAAATTTGACAAAATTCAACAATCCTGTTCGATAAAAATACTCAACAAGCTAAGAGTTGAAGGGAACGTTCTCAAACTGATAAAAGGCAACTACAAAAAACCCACAGCTAACATTGTACTCAATGCTGAAAGACTGAAAGCCTTCTGCCTAAGATCAGGAACATGACAAGGATGCCCACACTCCCCCTGTCCATTCAACATTCTGCTGAAGTTCTAGCAGGGCAATTAGGTAAGGGGAAAAAAAAAAGAGGCATCCAGATTGGAAAGGAAAGCAGCAGAAGCCCCACACTGGGTGTAGAGATTACTTAAAAATCATAAACAAACAAACAAACAAAGGCAGAGGACCTGAATGGACGTTTTTTTTTCAAAGACATATAGATGGCTGACACATGAAAAGATGTTCAACATGACTCATCCTCAGGGACATGCAAATCAAAACCACAATGAGGTATTACCTCACACCTGTCAGAACGGCTAGAATCAAAAAAAAAAACAAGTGTTGGCAACAATGTGGAGGAAAGGGAGCCCCTGTGCACTGTTGGTAGGAATGTAAATTGGTATAGACACTGTTCCTCAAAAACTTAAAAACAGAATTACCATCTGATCCATAATTCCACTACTGAGTATTTACCCAAAGAAAATGAAAACACTAATTTGAAAAGATATATGCACCTCTATGTTTACTGCCACATTATTTCCAATAGCTAATAGGAAAGCAACCCAAGTGTCCATCAATAGATGAATAAAGAAGCTGTAGTGTGTATGTGTGTGTGTGTGTGTGTGTGTGTGTGTGCGTGAGTGTGTGTGCATGAGTATTACTCAGCCATAAAAGAGAATGAGACCTTGCCATTTTCAGCATGGATAGACCTAGAGAATAAAATGCTAAATGAAATAAATCAGACAGAGAAGGACAAATACCGTATCATTTCACTTGTATGTGGAATTGAAAAAAAATAAAACAAATGAAGAGAGAAACAAAGAAAGAAACAGACTCAAATACAGAAAACAAACTGGTGGTTGCCAGAGGGGAGGCTGGGGGAGTATGGGTGAAATAGAGTGGATTAGGAGGAACAAACTTCCAGTTATAAAATAAATAAGTCGTGAAGATGAAAGCACAGCATAGGGGTACCTGGGTGGCTCAGTTGGTTAAGCGGCTGCATTTGGCTCAGGTGGTGACAGGGTCCTGAGATCAAGCCCCAGGACAGGCTCCAGGCTCGGCTGGGAGCCTGCCTCTCCCTCTCCTACTCCTACTCCCTCTCCTATGCTCTGCCTACTTGTGCTCTCTCTCTGTCAAATAAATAAATAAAATCTTAAAAAAAAAAAAAAAGCACAGTGTGAAGTGTGTAAACCTGGTGATTCACAGACCTGTACCCCTGGGGATAAAAATACATTATATATTTATTAAAAAATTTAAAAATTTAAAAAAAAAAAGCACAGCATAGGGAGTCTGGTCATTAATACTGTGGTAATGCATGGTGACAGAAGGTGAATACACTTATCCTAGTGAGCTCCGAGTACCACATAGATAGAACTGTTGAATCAATGTGTCATATGCCTGAAATTAACTTAACACTTTATGTTAATCATACTTCCATTGAAGGAAGCAAACAGACGAGGAGAAAAGAAGTAACAAGTGTTAGTGAGAATGTGGAGAAACTGGAACCCTCATCCAGTGCTGGTGGGACTGGAAACTGATATAGCCACTTGGAAAAACAGTTTGGCAGCTCCTCAAAAGTTAAATACAGTTAGTGGATGAATCAGCAATTCTGTCCCCAAGTGTATATACCAAAGAAAACGAAAAACAGCGGCGCCTGGGTGGCTCAGTAGGTTAAAGCCTCTGCCTTCAGCTCAGGTTATGATCTTAGGGTCCTGGGATCGAGCCCCACATCAGGGTCTCTGCTCAGTGGGGAGCCTGCTTCCCCGTCCCCCGCCTGCCTCTCTACCTACTTGTGATCTCTGACAAATAAATAAATAAAATCTTAAAAAAAAAAAGATTAAAAAAAATATATATATATTAAAAAAAAAGAAAACAAAAAACATACGTTCACACAAACACTTGTACACAAATGGTCATAGTGACATTACTCAGAAGAGCTGAAAAGTGGAAACCCAAATATCCATCATCAGAGGAACAGATCAATGAAATACAACAGAGTATTACCCAGCAATGAAAGGAATGAAATGCTGAGACGCCACAACAAGGACTAAGCTCAAAGACAGTATGCTAAGTAAAAGAAGTTCATCACAAAAGACCATGCATAGTGTAAATCCATAAATATGAAAAATCTACAACAGGCAGGTCCATAGAGACACAAACTCGCATAGTCCTGCCTAGTAGGTTTGGGGGAAATTGGGGATTGAGGGTGTGTGGTTTCTTTTTGGGGGTGATGAAAATTGTATTGTAGTGATGGTTGCACAACTCTGTTAAAAACCACTGAATTGGGCGCCTGAGAGGCTCAGTTGGTTAAATGACTGCCCTTTGGCTCAGGTCATGATCCCAGAGTCCCAGGATCGAGTCCTGTATCAGGCTCCCAGCTCCCTGGCGAGTCTGCTTCTCCCTCTGACTTTCTCCCCTCTCATGCTCTCTCACTCTCTCTCTCTCAAATAAAATAAATAAAATCTTTTTTTTTTTTTTAATTTTTTTTTATTTATTTGACGGAGAGAGATCACAAGTAGACAGAGAGGCAGGCAGAGAGAGAGAGAGAGAGAGAGAGAGAAGCAGGCTCCCCGCTGAGCAGAGAACCCGATGCGGGACTCGATCCCAGGACCCTGAGATCATGACCTGAGCCGAAGGCAGCGGCTTAACCCACTGAGCCACCCAGGCTCCCAAATAAATAAAATCTTAAAAAAAACAACACTACTGAATTGCACACTCTCAGTGGGTGAATTGTATGACATGTGAATGATATCTCAGTACAGCGTTTACAAAAAAAAAGGTTTACCCAATAAAAGTGGTACTCGACTATTCTAGTTACTGCTCACATTGCTACTCAGAGGTAACACCCATTTATCAATAAGTATATATTATTCGGGGCGCCTGGGTGGTTCAGTCGTTAAGCATCTGCCTTCAGCTCAGGTCATGATCCTGGGGTCCTGGGATCGAGCCCCACATCGGGCTCCCTGCTCGGCGGGAAGCCTGCTTCTCCCTCTTCTACTCCCCCTGCTTGTGTTCCCTCTCTCACTGTGCCTCACTCTGTCAAATAAATGAATAAAATCTTTTTTTTTTTAAGTATGTATTATTCTAAATAACCATAGGTTCTGGGGCACCTGGATGGCTTAGTCAGTTAAGTGTCTGCTTTCAGCTCAGGACATGATCCCGGGCTCCCTGCTCAGGGGGGAGCCTGCTTCTCCCTCCCCCTCTGCCCCTCCCAACCCCCCATGCTCTTGCATGCTCTCTTTCTTCCAAATAAATAATTTTTAAAAAAATTTTAAAAAGTAAAAATAAATAACCATAGGTTCAAAGTGTTCATTCTATACTGCAACATACTATATGTACTTTATATAGGTCTACTTAAATATATAATGGGGGTATTTTCAAGGTAGTGAATACTACCCACCTTATTCTTTTAAATGGCTATAAGTACTCCAATAATAACAACAAAAACAATAATGGCCACTAGTATTTATATAGTCCTTCACTGTTCCAAGTGCATATATACTTACTCATGTAATACCTACAGCAACCCTATGCAATAAAGTTCTATATTATGCTCAGTGACTCAAGCCTGCTCCTGACTCTTGGGGTCCGGTCCTGCCCAAGGGTCTTGGCAAAGCCCCCAAGAATAGCACAGAGTGTCCTGACTCCTCAGGTTTCCCACTGATCACTTCAGCCCACGGGGCAGAAGGGCACAGAGGTCAAGAAGAGGGACTGAGCGGCGCCTTGAGTGGGGAGGGCCCAGAGAAGCCTCCAAGAAAAGACCAAGGGGTTCTGCTCCACTGTCCCAGCGCCCCTCACTCACCTCAGCCTCGGCCAGACTGATCTGCCTCTCCAGATCCTCAGGAATCATTTTCCCTCTGGAAAAGAAAACTGACTGGGTAAAGAAGTAATTGATTTTCTCAGCTAGGAGGCAGAATGGCTGAGAGCAGGGTAATGTGGGGTTAGCTACACAGAGGCCATAATGTTGATTTTTTCCTAAGAGGGGTAAGCGGATCTCAGGGAACAGGGCGAGGGACTCCAGCAGCCATTGGTAGACAGAAGGGGCAACTCTGTAGGAACAGAGAGGGGAGAAGAGCCCACTTGCGGCATGGGCCTGAGGCCAGAGCTTCTGGCAGCGGGAAGGCACACTGTGCCAGGCTGGCTCTGAGCCATGTGAACAGAAGGACCTTTACCTCTCATCTGTCTTGACGACTCGGACACTGTCAGTGCCAAGTCCCAGAAAAGCAGCTCCCTTCTTGATGGAGTAATGACACTGTGGAGAAAGGCAGAGGGCAGATTAGGCTTGGGGCAAGAGGGCAGGAAGGACAGGGAGGAGAGAGACACTGGTGAATGTGTGAGCTGCAACAGATGAGACTCTAGACTAAGGCTTCTCGAATGTTCATGTGCCTCCACATCACCAGGGTGTCTGGTTCAAATGCAGATTCATACTCAGCATGTCTGGGGTAGGGCCTGAGACTTCTTTCTTTTTCTTTCTTTCTTTCTTCCTTTTTTAAGACTCTGCATTTCTCACAAGTTCCCAGGTGACACTGATGCTACTGGTCCACAGACCACACACTCCGAGTAGAAAGGGCGTGGACTATGTCCGCTGCACTCTTGGTCCCTCTGCTACCTGCGCACAGAAGGCAAGGCGAATGGGAGTGTTTACCCAGCCCCTTGATTGCAAGGAAATGCTTCTGCCTGGGGGCAGGCTGGCCCTGGAGATGGGTCTGGGAGGGCAGACTCCACTGGCTGGACATTAGAATGAGGAGCCCAGGGCAGGTCTGAGCCTCTTCTCACCTCCTTTGATGCGAAGAGAGCCAGGGGCGGCAGCGCCCGGAGGCCCCTCTGCTTGCAGTCCGGGTAGCGCTGATAGCGGGCCAGGTTCACGGCATACATGTTGGAGATGGAGCCACCTGTCACAGGGAAGGTGGCAAGAGGGAGGAGCAGTGGGTCAAAACTGGAGCTTGCTCTCCCTGATCTCCACCCAGGAGAACAGATCAAAGCAGCATGAGTGATGGGCTCCCAGGGCTCTCCTCAGAGCATGCTGATAACCCCTGAACAGCCCCAGGATTCACAGGTTCCCCCGGACTACTCCCCTCCATATCCTGGGCGGACCCAGGCAAGTGCCTCCCCTCCCCAGAGCAGGCACTGGAGTGCTTATCCCATGGACTGTTTGAGGATACAGGGGACTGGGCAGCTTCTCTCAGGTTTGGCCCGAGCCCAGCTGGAGAGGACAGAGAGGAATCACTTCGCCCACCAGCATAGAGCAAAAAATTGTGGGGGAGGAGAACCCTCAAAAAGGCCAAAGAGAGGCCCCCCTCCCTCTCACATACCAGGGCAGAAGACCCCATCCCCTGAGCTCCAGCCCACCAGGGACCGGAGTTTCTTCAGCACCTCTTCTTCCATGAGCACAAACACAGGGGCGATTTCATAAGTGTACCTGCCAGGAGAGGAGGGGATGAGAAAGGAAAAGAGGAGGGAGGGCCAGCGGGGTCAGACTCAGAGGAGCAGGAAAAGGAGGTGGGGACAATGAAGGAGGAAAGGTCCAAAGAGAGGAATGACCTGGTGACCAAGAGCCAGGGAAGCAAGAATGAGGAAGAACTGGGGGTCCGGAGGTATGAGAAAGCTGGGAGAAAGGGAGCCCAAAGGGTACAAGGAGAAAGACTGCTAGCAGAGATGCCAGGAAATGGGGGGGAGCAAAACCATTCTCCTCCCCCTGGGATATGTCTCCAGCAAATCCAAGCCTTTGTAAGGTGGGGGGAAGGGGCCCAGAGATGACTCACTGGCTGGTGTTGAGGCTCTCAGTGACAATGCGCCCCGCCAGAGCGTGGGGATCCAACCCTGAGAAGAGCTGGTTGAAGAAGTGTGGGTGACCTGGAGAAGGGCAGTGGAGAGGGGGGCAGGGAGCTCAGAGGGCAGTCAACAAACTCCAGACGCTCCTCCCGCCGCAGCCCCGGACCCACAGGTTTTCACACTGTAGTGGATCACCTCCCGGCACCGTGCCAGGATCTGCTCAGCAGCCTCGCCCTCACTGCGCAGCTCCAGGTCCAGCAGCCGCCTCAGCTCCTCCGGCTCCTTCCACTCGCAGACCTGGCGGGAGGAGCGGGAGGTTCTGGTGGTCCGTGGACACCCCACTGACCGGCTGCCCGCACCGCCTCTCAGCTTGCATAGAAAATGAGTTAGGAATGTTTCCCAAGTAACTCGTGAACAAGGGTAAATATGCACAGAAGGCGGCAGCATATAATCCCTGAGGCACATGGCGAGACAGTGATGAACTGGGGGGTGAAGCCTTGTTGGTGGGAGAAAGTTCGGAGCCAGTTACAATGGGCAGCAGGAGGGGAAAGGACCCACCTTCTCAGAGGCACTGGTCCCTTTCCGAATGACCTCATCCACAACAATCCCAAACACATCCCGGAGCAAGGCTTCTGCAGCCATGGGGTCCCCATCAGGGGAGAAGAGTGGTTTAGAGTCAGCCATCAGGATAAAATCTGTGAGCAAAGCAGGAGTTACTCCCTACTCCGCCCAGTGTATCCCAGCAGGACCTAAGCAGCAAGGACCCCAGCCACAGCTCAGTCCCAGCCTTCGCTGGGCGGACAAGAGCAAGTGCCCTGGGAGAAGGTCAGTAGCAACAGGTAGGGAAGAAATGGGCAGTGAGCTCTGAGCTGGTGGAAACCAGTGGCCACCGCCTACCTCAGGCAATGATGAGAGTCTTACCTTTCCACCCAGGTCTCTGCTCAGGGGAGCCGGAGGGAAGGCACCCAACTAGCTTCTGAGAGAGTTAGGACTGGGACAGCAGAGGGGGTGAGGTATAGGCAACAGTCATATGACCATGAGCTCACTCTCCTGACCCTTGCCCTGAAGAGAACTTAGAGATTTGGGATAGGGACAACTGGTTGAGATAAGTCCCTGAATAATCATTAGCTGACCTGAAGAAGGGGGGAGTGCAAAGAAAAGCAAAAAACATTAACTTCGGGGTTGAGAAAGCAGCCAGGAAGAATCACTGTGAAGCAGAGGGCTGGAGATCGGACTTAGTGGAGAATGTTGGGGGTGTGGTGAAGGGAGCTACTGCCCCTGACCCTGGAGACAGAAGGGGGAGCGAGCCTGAGAGAGGTAGAGGTGAAGCAGTTTATCTATTTGTACCCCCAACCCCAAAGAACCATCCTGATTTCTTTTTTTTTTTTTTTTTAAGATTTTATTTGTTTGACAGAAAGAGATGCAGCCGGAAAGGAAACACAAGCTGGGGGAGTGGAAGAGGGAGAAGCAGGCTTCCTGCAGAGCAGGGAGCTTAATACGGGGCTCGATCCCAGAACCCTGGGATTATGACCCAGGCCGAAGGCAGACACTTCGATCCCAGGACCCTGGGATCATGATCTGAGCCGAAGGCAGACACTTAACCACTGAGCCACCCAGGCCCCCCGAACCATCCTGATTTCTAAAGCCCTCTCCTAGAGCAGGAAGGAAAGGGGGGTTATGTTGAGGAAGCATTTTGTTAAACAAGTGTAATCTGCGTGCCTCGCAGGCTGAGAGCATTGAATACACAGAACGTGGTGGTCTCAAGTGAGCACCAACTGTGTTCATGACACGGTACTGGGGACCAAGACAGCCTCCCTGTCTGCTGGGAGGGCACAGATGCACGTGCAACGGTCACAGCCTGAGGCAGGCTGGATGCTGACCCCATGTGCTACAGAGTTAAAGAGGAGACGGATGGTGGATGGCAGCAGAAGACGGCGGAAGATCTGCAGTGGGACTGGAGCTGAATCTGGAAAGAAGGCAGGAGAAATGGGATTAGCAAAAGGGAGAAAGAGAGCATGTGGGGGTAGGGTGATGCCAGGAGCCGACATGGGGAAGATGTATGGCTTGATGTAAGGTCAATGAAGGTGCCTAGCTGGCTGGAGGGAGGTCTGCAAGGATGATACCGGAGCAAAAGCAAGGTAAGCAGAGTTGCATGAGGTTATGGGAGAGCCCTGAGTCCAGAAAGGCCCAGGGATTTAAATTTTATCCTGCAGAAAATTGGAACTCATTGAAGCGTCTGGGTGGCAGTGGGTTAAGTATCTGCCTTCAGATCAGGTCATGATCTCGGGGTCCTGGGGCTCCATCCCGGTGGGGAGTCTGCTTTCCCCTTTCATGCTCACTCTCTCTCTCAAATAAATAAAATCTTAAAAAAAAAAAAAAGAAAGAAAAGAAAAGAAGAGAAAAAGAAAACAGGAACTCACTGTCTCAGTGGCAAGGAATAGTGATGAGCTGATGCCCAGACCAGTATACAGTACAGGAGACAGAAGTCACAAGGTGTGGCTGTAAACCAGGCGAGAACTGATGCACACTGGAAAAGGGTGGTGTGGGTAGGAAAGGAGAGAGGAAGGAGGAGGTCCGCCCAAAGCTCTGATGAGCTACGGGAACAAAAAGCAGATTTGAGAGTCAGGGTACAGGCTGAAGCCTGGTGATGGACTCCGTTCCTCACGGGAGAAAATGTTCGGAGGGACAGCCGGGGGAGGGGAAAACACCAAGGCCTAGGAACCCCCCTCAAACAGGTGAATGAGAGGATCAAGGGAATAGGAAGAGGAAACTTCCTCAAAGTGAGTTGCTCTGGTTTAATCCACCATCAGCAGCCACCGGACCCCACACTAGTAGAAAACACAGGTTCAAGGAACCCCAGAGCCCTTGAACATTTCCTCAGTAGACAGGGTTTGGGGGAGAGAGGGGAGCTAGCCCAGGCCTTGAAAATGGAAGGGTCAGTCCTTTATCAGTGTTGCTTTAGCTCCCCTGACAGGTGGCAGCTGTGGGGTGTTGGGGTGGAAAGGCTTGAGGGGAAGAAGCAAAGGAAGATAGGTACCAATGAAGCACTTAACCACGTGCCACACTCTGTCCTTAATGTGTATTATTATCATCTTTACAACTGTTGAGGGTAGGTTTATGGCCCACATTTTTTTTTAAAGATTTATTTATTTGACAGACAGAGACCACAAGTAGGTAGAGAGGCAGGCAGAGAGAGAGGAAGCAGGCTCCCCGCTGAGCAGAGAGCCCGATGTGGGGCTAGATCCCAAGACCCTGGGATCATGACCTGAGACAAAGGCAGAGGCTTTAACCCACTGAGCCACCCAGGCGCCCCTATGGCCCACATTTTAACTGAGATTCCAGAAACGCTATGGATGTAGCTGGGTCAGATCACACAGCCAGCACATGGCCAAGCAGGGTGTGAAGCCAGGCATGGTGCGCTCTGAAGGTCCCTGTTCCTAACCATCATGCTCGACTGCCTCTCACGAGGCTCCATCAGGCCCTGAGTGTGCTGTGCTGCTGAGACCACTGGGCCAGGCGTGAGGACACCTCAGGGCCTCCGTTTCTGTAAAATAAGGGGTTTCCAAGAGACAACCTCCAAGGCGCTTGCTGGTGTTCACAGGAGCTCAGGCCAAAAGACATGACAAGCAGGCCAAGGGAGACTTTTTTTTCCAAGCAGGGGCAGAAAACAGGTTGCAGGGGGTTTGTAAGGCGAGAACAACTGCTTAACAAAGAGAATCTCCTAGCAGGAGGGACGCTTTCCCCAAAGCTCCAAGGAAAGAGTCTGTATGGGAGACTCCATCCTCCCCTCCCAGGACCTTCTTTATCCTTCCCACCCGAGTCATAGCTCAGAAACGAAATCTGGAGCCAAGGGCTCTGAATACTCCCAGTTTTTTCCAGGGATAAACAGAGAAGTGAGACATCACCACCCTTGTTCCACATACAGAATCCTGCCCTGGGCCCCTGAGAAAGGGAAGGGCCCCCGCCTGCAGAGTTTTTCTTTTTCTTTTTTTTTTAATTAATTAATTTGAGAGAGAGAGTGAGCGTGCAGGCGCATGCAGGAGTGGGGGGTGGGCAGAGGGAGAAGGAGAGAATTTCAAGAGGACTCCCCACTGAGAACAGAGCCTGACTCAGGACTTGACTCAGGGCTCAATCCCACAACCCAAGAGATCATGACCTGAGCCGAAACCAAGAGCTGACGGTCAAGTCAATAAACTGAGCCACCCAGGCATGCCAAGAGTTTTCCTTTTTCTTTTCTTTTTATATTTTAGAAGGTTTTATTTTATTTATTTGACACAGAGAGAGAGAGCAAGCACAAGCAGAGGGAAACAGCAGGCAGAGGGAGAGGGAGAAGCAGACTCCCTGTTGAGCAGGGAGCCCAACGTGGGGCTCGATCCCAGGACCCTGGGAGCATGACCTGAGCCAAAGGCAGATGCTAACCGACTGAGCTACCCAGATGTCCCAGAGTTTTTCTTTTTAAAAAGAAGAAGGAGGGGCGCCTGTGTGGCTCAGTGGGTTAAAGCCTCTGCCTTCAGCTCAGGTCGTGATCCCAGGGTCCTGGAATCGAGACCCACATCGGGCTCTCTGCTCAGCAGGGAGCCTGCTTCCCTTCCTCTCTCTCTGCCTGCCTCTCTGCCTACTCGTGATCTCTGTCTGTCAAATAAATAAATAAAATCTTTTTTTAAATAAATAAATAAATAATAAAAAGAAGAAGGACATTAACCTGCAGGATAGAATGATAAAGCAAAGAAATATGAATAGAGTTAGGAACAGGGCTGCAGGGCTGAGAAGATGTTGGTAGAACCAAGTAGGGTTTGTTTAAAAATTTACGTTTCTTCCAACTTCATGGGATCTTTAGTCCATCAACTCCTCTAGCCATCAACTCCCTCATATCTTTCTTTTCTTCACTTATGCAACCTTGATTGTATGTTCTGTTGTTTCAGCCATTCTGTGCAAAATCCTCAGCTCCTACGCCCTTTGGTCGTTCCACGAAATCCACCTGGGGAAACTCCAATCCAACTGGCCAATCCTTCTCTTACCAAATCTACCGGGACCGTTGGATTCTACTAGTAAAAGCCACCCAGCCATTCAAATTGATATAGCTATAAATTCATGGTCCCTGTGTTTATTCCAACTAAACATAACAGATTAAACACCTTCGTGTACCACCATTCATTCCTGAAACCCCACTAAAACTGTATCGGTGGCATTTTAAATTCAGAAGAATAAAGTAAATGAGGAGAGATGAGAAATGTCAATAATCGCAGAAGACAGAAGGCAGATGAAAAGCGGTAACTGGTTTAGCACAAGGCAGAAAGTCAAAACCAGTATGTCTGCAGATGGCTATGCCAATGCGAAACAAGCTGGTTCTTGGGGCAAAGCTCAGAAAGGCTCAGGAACTGGAAACACTAGCCATCTTGGAAGGCAGGAGGGAGTTGTAGTAGTGTGTGTAAGGCGCAGTCAGAGCTCCCTCTCCTCCTCCTACTTATACAGTCAGGCAACTCCCTTCCTTTCCCCCCTGCTTCCAAAAAAGCAAGAGATTTGTTTTCTAGAGCAACTGGAACAGGTAGGGAGGGACTTTGGGAGGCCAGGACTTAGAGAGCACCAAATCCTAACCACTAGACCACCAGGGAGGTTGAGGCCAGGACTTAGAGCCTTGAGGCACACCAGGTGAGCAGGAGGCACTGCACCAAATACAGGAGGATTAGGAGGAAGTTACCATCAAATCAACTCCTTTCTCCTAACCAGCATTCAGAACCAGTGGCCAGGGGTAAACGTTCCAGGGCCAGGAGAGTAGAGGATTCCTCTCTGGAGAAACTGACCTCGACAGCCCCAGAGAAAAGAACTCCTGATGCTCTTATTTCAGTCCTCACCTGATCTCCTGGTCAGTGGTGCCCACAAGTCAATATGGCGCATCCATGCACTTGGGCCTTCCAATATGCCGGCATGCCTCCCTCTTCACTGTGAGCAACCAACCAGCCAGAGGTTACCAGACACTAGAGGAAAGCCCCTAACCTAAACCACATAGATAAAAACAGGCAAACTGAAAGAAGGCATTTGGTGGAAGAAAAGAAAGTCAGGGAGCAGAAGAAGCCTCAAAATTTCCAGAAGATATTGTATTCATTAAAAAATAGGTCGCCCTCAAAAAGGAATACTCAGAGAACAGGAAGAAACTCTAGGATTTTAAAAATACGACAACGGAAATGAAAAATTAGAAATAAAACGATGCCAAGAAAATCACACAGAAAGATAAAAATATAAAGAGATGGACAAAGAAAAGAACCTTAGAGCAATCCAAAAGGACCAAGAGTCAAGTAATACAAGTTTCAGAAATGGAAGGAAAGGAGGAGGAAAGAAATCAAAGAAAGCTTTGTAGAACAGAAGGAC